AATTTATATTTGTTTGTTGGCTTGTGATAAAACACACACACACATACATATCTATATATCTACATCCATCTATATCCATATAGTATATACTCAGAGAGAAAGATAGAAGGAGTTGTGCCCAACATATTGCATTTTGGAGTAACTGGACACAATAACTGACTATTTTTCTTTAAAATAATATAAAAATTGTTAGGCCAATTGGCCTGATAAACATGTACAGAACGGGATGGCACCTGTGGCTTAGTGAGTAGGGCGCTGGCCTCATGTACCAAGGGTGGCGGGTTTGAACCTGGTCCCAGCCAAACTACAACAAAAAAATAGCCAGGTGTTGTGGCGGGAACCTGTGGTCCTAGCTACTCAGGAGGCTGAGGCAAGAGAATCATCTAACCCCAAGAGCTGGAGTTTACTACGAGCTCTGACACCATAGCACTTTAACAAGGGCAACAAAGTGAGACTGTCTCAAAAAAAAAAAAAAGAATTAGAAAAAATGACAAGGATATTCACTCTCACTACTTCTATCCATCATAATTCTGGAAGCCATAGCCACAGCAATTAGGTAAGGAAAAGACACCAAAATCTTCTAAGTTGGAAAGGAAGAAGCAGAATTATGTTTGCTAATGACATGATCTTTTTTTAAAATAAATTTTATTTTATTTTATTTTATTTTTTTGGCCGGGGCTGGGTTTGAATCTGCTACCTCCAGTATATGGGGCCACGCCCTACCCCTTTGAGCCACAGGGGCGGCCCTAATGACATGATCTTTATGTAAAAATCCCTAAAGACTCCACGAAAATATGTGAGACCAAAAACAAAATTCAACATGGTTGAAAGATACAAAATCAACACAGAAATATCAATTAGGTTTCTATAACGCCAGGTGTGGTGGGAGTGGGAGGATTGCTTGAGCTCAGGAGTTTGAGACCAGCCTGAGAAAGAGCAAGACCCCATCTCTACTAAAAGTAGAAAAACTAGCCAGGCATCTTGGGTGCCTAAAGTCCCAGCTACTTGGGAGGCTGAGGCAAGAGGATCACTTGAACCCAAAAGTTTGAGGTTGCTATGAGC